CAATTGCAAATTGTTGTTGTTGTTGTGGTTGTGGTTGTGGTTGTGGTTGTTGTTGTTGTTGTTGTTGTTTGTTGCTGCTGCTGCTGCTGCTGCTGATGATGATTTTGTTCTTGTTCTTGTTCTTCTTCTTCTTTTTGTGGTTGTTGTTGGTTGTTTGTTGGCTGTTCTTGGTTGCTGTTGCTGTTGCTGTTGCTGTTGGTGGTGGTGGTGGTGGTGGTGGTGGCGGCGGTGGTGGTGGTGGTGGTGTTGGTGTTGCTGCTGCAGTTGGTGTTGTTCTTGTTATTGTTCTTGTATGTTATGTTTTTTTTCTTCTTCCGGTTCTTCTTCTTCTGTCGGTGTTGGTTGTGGTTGTGGTTGTAGTCGTTGTCGTTTTCGTCGTTGTTGTTGCTGTTGCTGTGTTCTTCTTCTTCTTCTTCTTGTGGTTATTGTTGGTTGTTGGTTGTTTGTTGGCTGTTCTTGGTTGCTGTTGCTGTTGCTGTTGGTGGTGGTGGTGGTGGTGGTGGCGGGGTTGTTGTTGTGGTCGTCGCCGTCGACGTTGATTGTTGATTGTGTTGGTTGTCGTTACGGTAGTTGGGTTTTTTTCGCTCGTTTGTGTTGTTTGTTGTTTGCCTGTTTTGTGCTCGTAAATGCTGCATGTTTGTTGTTGGTTGTGGCGGTTGTATATCGTTTGTTGGTTGTTATTCGGTGGTTGTGGGTTGTGGTTGCGGTTGCGGTGGTTGTTGTTGTTGTTGTTGCTGCTGCTGCTCCTGCTCTTCCAGCTGCTGATAGTGGGCAAAGCCTGGTCGGCAAACTTGGGCCCCGTCTTGACTGTTGGCAAGAGGTTGCTAGACTTTGTGACTCCGATTCTGAGTGTACAATCCGTTGTTTCTTTCAGGCAAACCCCGAAGATCGACTGTGGATTTGGACGCGGTATGGCACCGCTTACCGTGCGCTTTATACACTGTACGAGGCGAGTTGGGTGCTTCATATGATGGTTTGTGCTATTCAGTCGTACTGCCAGTGTGGGTCAGCCCACCAACGCTAGCACAAATTCATTCCTGTTGAAAATTCACTGCCTGCATTGGGGGATTGGAACGGACTGTTTCAGAAACCATAGGTGTTGCGAAGGCGGATGAACACGGCGTCCACCAGCCAAATAACGTCAAACCCGGACCCTTCAGACCCTTAAGGCAACCTGAAGATGTAGGTGCGCAGCTTGCTTGACGTAAAAGCTGAGTTCACTTGAATCGTGGTATTGCCATAGCCTGCTGTTGAAGGAGGTGGTGTGAGACGCGCCCTTAGTCTTGAACCGCTTACACGCGCCATCCCGATGTGTATGACATCATGAGAGCTTGCGCAAAGCCAGGTAACCTTTGCAGGGAGCCTTGGAGAATGCTATATGCTTCAATCACAGTTTTTCGTGCCGCCAGAAGCCATGAGCTCCTTCATGTTTGACCCCCAATAGTTCCTGTTGGGAACTCAGGAATTGGCCTACTAACGCAAGGCCCGTGATGGAGAAGGTGAGCCACGCGTACGTGTTCTTTTTCCTGTTGTATGTCACGCTTGTCGCCGCTAGCTTTGAAGGAGTTGTTACAGCACGCATAATTTTTCTGCAGAACTTTCATCGCTGTCTCCAACCCTTGAACCGGAAATACTTGAACCCTGGGTAGCCAAGGTTTTCGCCGTTATCCGAGCCACTTGACTCAGCAGCACCCTTCCAGACCATTTTCATGCGGCGAAAGATGTATCGTGCTTAAACCGCTGCCGCTAAGCATTCGCCCCTCCAACGCGGCTGCCCTTCAACGACATGATGATATGTCAGGTGATAACTGCGATCTTTTTGAAAGATACGCTCGACGCCGCTCAGAATGACGCCGAGCCTTTGGAAGCAAAGCAAACCTCTCCAATTAATGAATGCTCGACCTTGTCGCGCTGCAGCTGACCGCTCTCGGGAGTACCTGTGCATGCCGTACTTGCAGCTCGAACTTGCGCACGTACGAGGCTGCCTAGCATCCTGCTTCAAAAGAACACCTTTCGCAGTCTTGTGAAACCGAGATGTCCTGTGGCAACCCCGAATGTCTGTCATTCAAGCTCAAAGCCCCTCAAACTCAAAACCCTGAACGTAAGGAGCAGCTGGTTTTGGACAGAATGAACAAGAAGGCCAAATACGTGGAGCAGCTGGAGGCTGACTTGACTTTGTTTCCGGAGTTTTTGGGTGTCAGAGTCTTGGGTTCTCCTGAACCATCGCCAGACTGCGCACAGAGATAGGTTGTGATAAGTGTCGAGCCCTTTCTTGCCAATACACGGCGCGATTGCGATCACTAGTGACGACGGCGGTTATCATTGTGACGAGCTAGCAGCACAATCATGATGGCGAGCATCGCTGCCAGGCTGTCTTCAAGGCCATTGATCAGCGTGGTTTCCTGGCACTGAAGAGAGGGTTTGCAAAAAACGAGCTCTCTGAGCCTCGACAGCTGGCAAAGAGATCCTAAAATCTAAAGCTCCCCCTGCACCCTTAGGAAAGACCACCACTTCTTTGCGGCGAGACCTTTGTTTCATGTTTAGTAGAATCAGTAGGTCAAACCCGGCCATGCAGAGTGCAGACAAGGCCCTTAACCCAAACCTCCCTACCCACTTGCACCTCAACGAAGAAGGGTCTAGGGGTCTTAGGGTTCATCGCTGCAGAGTCTCTTTGCTAGTCGGAGGCCTCGGCACTCCCGTCCGAGCCTTCAGACTTGAGGTCTTCCCTTCTTGTTTGGGACGTACGATATACGAATAATGATGGCCCTGGGGGGCGTTGCCAAGTAGTCTTGCTGCAAAGGGCCACATATCGGTCCTTGGCGTGGCCTTCAGAGGTGATGGCACGGTTTCCGAAGAGAGGCTCCAGGAGCTGCTCGCCCACCCAGAGGCTACCGAGTTTGGGTTTGGGGGGGTTTGGATGTAGAAGCAGGGGGGGACAGGGATTCCGTTTCCCGGATCGACTCGACCCAGGGCTCAATTCGCCAGTTGTTCCGAGGTTTTGGAGCTTCTCGGAGTGTTCGGGGCGCTTGAAGGCGTTGCGGTGCTTCGGGGGATTCGGGCGAGGTTTACTCTAGGATGTAGAGGTTTGTCACGCGCTGAGGGGTTTCAGGGTCAGTGTGGATTTGAGGTTTCTAAAGTCACGCCGGGAGGTCGCGGCTTACTTCAACGTCCTCGACCTTGATGTGCAGGACTCGCGCAGATCGGTTTTGTGTCAACATGCTCGGTCCTTGTTTGCCTGCAGCGTTTGGGGAACGCAAGGACAGCCCGGAGCAGGTCGTTGCGTAGATAGCACGACCGTTTCGGCGCATGGCCCGAATCCTCCCCTCGATCAACCGAACCACGATTGAATCGTAGTCCCGAGCCCCAAGTAACGAATTCTCCGAAGGAAACTTCCGTGTTCTTCCACATCATTGATAATGGTGATGGTGAGGCACCAGTCCATGCTCGACGAGCGGGGCACGTAGGAGTCAGCGCAGGAGTTCAGCACCGCATAATTTCTGTCTGGGTGTCGGGGGTGTTTAGATTAGATCGGACCTTAATGTTGGGTTTGGCTTGGTTGACAGTCGTTGGTGACCGAGCTCGTCTTTGTAGCCTCGCATCACTGGATCATGGCGACAAGCATGCATGTGGCACGGATGGCAGCGGGCTTTGGGGTTTAGGGTCATCAGACCAGCTATGCCTCCCATGTGAGTAGAGGTGTGGCTTTTTAATGCCTTTGAACGCTTAGCCGCAGAGCAGATAAATTCCCGCACCTTGAAAGCCAGCTCCCAGTGAGTGGTGCCATTGGGAGAAAATGTCTGACGTACCCGCCGCTTTGGGGAACTCCGATGCAGATTCAGGGTGAAATTCAGACAGAGATGATGATTTCCCTCAGGCCCTGCAGGCGATTGCAGAAGTTCTAATGCACAAGATGGTACTTTCGTCGCAGGTGACTCTGGACGAGTTCATTGATGGCATCCTCCGCTGCAAAGGCTGCTGTGCCCAGTCAGGGGCATCCACGGTTTGTCTTGGGCTGCAATCATTGCCACAATACGCAAGGTAGTTTGCCCGAATTCTTATATTAGTTGTGCCGTGTGTTGAACCTGTGGGAGTACGTTGACTAGAGGCAAAATGAAGGGCAACGCAATTGCAGGCACCCATTGAATTGGATGCTTGGGGAACGGGGTCTAAAGACATTGCTTCAGGGATTGATCTAGATCCTTCTGGATGCTCACATAGTTCAACGATGAAGAAGTGCAGGTTTGTTACGATAACGTACTATCGACGTCTATGCTGCACGGGTAGCCTTAGGATTCCTTCTTCGGAGAGCCATATGTTCAGGCAGAATAAGACTAACACAGGTTCCAGGTTGTTCCATGCAGGAGGTTTGCTAGTAGGGCTGCCGCTGATTTGAGAGTTGTTTTCCTTGGAGCAGGTGCGTGTTAACTATATCATGTGAGTAACCCAAGTTGTATGCGACACACAAAAAATGTGAAATGGGACCCGGTAGAACCCGGTTTCTAAAGCCAAATCACGGGAATTAGTCAATTAGTCAGGCTAGGTTCAGGGGTCATACTTGGGGCCATTGTCATGCGGGAGACTTTGTGAAGTTTTATGCTATTTAGAGTTTTGGGTTCCAGGTTGACGTGAAAAGTAGTCCTGTCGTAGTCAATTATGACCGTGTTCCCGGACATGTATGTCTTCCTGAGAGAGCTAACAAACGAACAAGCTTGGGCTGACAGACCGGTTGCATCTCGCATGTTTCTGTTTTTTGCCTGAGCGCAGGCTGCTGGGTAGATTCAATGTCACGGCTCAGAAAAACAACGAAATCCCAAATCAATAAAGCTAAAACAATCAACTCGAAAATCTGCACCACTGCGGGTACGAAAGCACTCCTCGTGCGACAGCTGACAAGTAGGTGTTTCTTTTAAAGCTCGTGTATCGGCTGCCGTGTGCTGTGCTCTGGCTCCAGCTGGATATTTTCGCGTGACTCGCCGGAAGAATGCCAATAGGGGTTTTGTGTCTTGGGCCCATAGCTCGCCAAACCTTTGGAACTAGCATTGATACTATGTTTCGTGGGTGAAGAAGCACTAGATTTACTAGATCTCTAATTAGTATCGCGCGAGAAGCCAGTGGCAGGTAATGCCCGGGCAGTGGATTCAATGGCGATTCGAGCAGATCTGAACCTTGGAGCCAAGGGGATGGAGCACTTGGGTGAGGAACAGGCTTTATTTCTGCTTGTTCGGCTTGCGTGGCTTTCAGGACTTAAGATTTGGGTCGAAGCCGATAACACGATCCCCCTATCACACAGCCGTAACCATCCCCGATATCATTGGCAGTTGGATTCTTCTTTAAGGTCAATTGTTTGTTGGGCTGAAACAAGCTTCTGCCAGAGTTGGCGAATAGTCCGTTCGGTACCTTTCGCTGCACGGCACAGCAGCAGCTACTGCTGCTGTTTGGTGTTGGCATCGGCGGCGGTGGTGGCGGTAGTGGTGGTGGTGGTGGTGGTGGTGGTGGTGGTGGGTGGTGGTGCTGCTGCTGCTGCTGCTGCTTCAATGACGACAACGATTGCTGTTCAGACGATGCCCGATACGACGACAGCGACGAAGAAGGGACGGATAAGGAGGAGGAGGAGGAGGAGGAGGAGGAGGAGAAGGAGGGGCAGGGCGACGACATTGACGACAATGGTGATGGAGTTGTTGGTGTGCCTTCCTCACCGATGCATCTGCCCACACAGATTTCAGTTTCTTCTTTGAGACGCGTTTGTCGAAACCCAAGCAGTGTCGATTCTCGTGAGGTAGTATGTCCATGAGTTTCATCTTTGTCGAAAGTTGATGTAGCCGGCTGCAAGGTAAACCCGGATCCGGCGAAGTCTCTAGAACACCACGCGCTACACCCTAAATTCGAATGCGGAAATGTAGCAATCCGGCCAACTTCCGTTTTCATTGCCTCCCTGCACTCGAATCCTGTGCCTCTGCACGAACGACATATAATTAGTATAGATCAGAGCAGACATGAAACAGTCAAGCGACTTACGACGGCACCAGCGCTGGAAACCCGCGAAGACGACGCCGGTTGCATATCGTAGCGACAAGGAGTACATAGCTACAACAAAAAATACCTCGATGCGGCAACAAACTTCCCAATCGAGGAAGAAGCTGACGACCAAGGTGAACAAGATCCAGAGGAGAGGTTGCTTAAGCCTTAAGCTTTCGGGTTTCGGGTCGCCCAGCTCTGAACACTGAACCCTTGCACGTGTTGGCTTTGTCAGTCACGTGGTAAAGCAGGTCTCGACGTTTTAAGTGCCGACCCAATTCCGGGCCTGTCATAGGGGAAGTCTCGGCTCCCTGTCAGGGCGCTGAAGCAGCGCAGCAGTCAATCTGAGGCTGTCTTTTGAGCATTTTTCCATGTGGCCAGGAGGCCCGCGAGGGCGGAAGCTCAAACAGACCAGGTTTCAGTCGCGTCGAAGGAAGCTTGTAGCACGGCGGGGGTTGCAACAATCCTTCTAAGACCGCTTTCGGAATGAGGGCCGCTTGTCTCGGGCTTCGGGATAATTTGGGCAACTCTCCTCGACTTTGTGGTGCTTCGGTCTGGCTTGCGTCAGGTTTTTGGCGGCGTGGGATGTGGGTATCCCATGGTTCTACATAAGTACAATTTAATTTTCGTCGCCTATGCCTGTCGGGTCAACTCCAGTAACTCACGCACCTGCACGATTCAAGGAAAGACTCAACAGAAACATGTGCTTACGCTGTCAGTGTCTCGAGTTCCGAGCAGCTAATCTATAGTATTGCATCGTAGCAATACGAATGCCAATAATAATGGCAAAAGTCGTATTAATTGTCGCATCAACAATAGTAGTTAGCAAAAATAAAAATGACATGCTTGATTTTGATACTGAGATGGCCTGTTGGGGAGCTGGCCCTGACCCCAAGTGACCGCAGTTTCTCAAGCGTCATGGAGCTCATTATCTCACAGTAACCCCCCCCTGTTGATTGGGCTCATGCGGCGCCGGGACACAGGGTGGAGGAAGTAGGTAGCGGCAGCCCGACAGTTCTACAAGCACGCCTCATTGTTAAATTGAGCAGAAAAGCCTCCTGGCCACACGACTCACATAGTTACATGAGCCGTCTCGGAGAGATGGGAAATGCACCAAGTACCTTTAAACGGCAGTTCCTGATTCCTGCTCGGAATCACCATGCCTCGGCACGTAGGCGAGGCGAGTAGTTGAACTGCACAGATCGTTTGGTGTAGTGCCAGTCTAGGAAGCATGTTCCAGGAGATGAGCAGTGGTGCTTGCCAATCCCAACCTGCATCCCCAGCACATTCGCAGGCGTCTCCTGCACAAGGCAAGCCCATGCAGGGCGAAATTTTTTGGATTCGTGTGCAGCGCAAGGCGAGACTCTGGCAGTCACGAGCTGCTGCGTGGCTTTTGGCTACCATTCGCTTTGTCCTCGTCAAACCTACACTCTCGAGATCCCTCGAGCAAAAAGGTCTGAAGTTTTGTTGGGCAGAGAGCCTGAGGAACGCCAGAGGGTCGTCTTGCTGAATGAATGCCCTTTTTCCTGAAACTAGCACATCAGCACATCACAGCGAGGCTTAGGGGGGGGGCTTCGACTGCTCGGAACCCATAGTGGTAGATACAAGAGGGTACTTGCGTACATGAGCGTCGGGCTCGACCCAAGGTGGTAGGCAATTATGAAGTCGTAAATTTCGGAAGCCCTTTTGCAGATGCCCGCTGAATTTCACCTTTTTGAACCATTTTGTAGGAGTACTGAGTAGGAGTGGTAAAGGTCTCCAATCTTTAGTTGCGAGTTTGTTTTGGAGACCATGCAAAAATGCATGGCTCTTCTATTTCAGTTCGGCTTGAGTTGGAGACCTGGTCTGCAAGGTCAATGCTGCATAGATGTGGCACGGCGATGTTCGTACGGTCCTGCATGGCTTAGAAGGGTCATGTACCCGAGCAAAGGATTCACTAGCAAGGCTGTGCTTCTGTCCATGCTTTACCACGACCCTCCTACAGTAGAGTAGTCAGAGGCTTTCGCCCGAGCTTCTGTGCAGTATGACTCGTGCCTTCTCTTGCGCAGGCTGTAGTAACTGTAGCGAACCGACGTGGATGTGTGCATGCGTGGGTCTGCAATGCAGCAAGGAGCCCAGATTGCCAGCGTCGACTGTGAGTCGGAGAAAAGCCATTTCGTAGAAATCCGCGGCTTGACAGTTCGAGAGGTGCACGGAGTGCGGCCACAAGGAGGACCTGCTGATGATTTCACAACCTTCTGCCTGCCTGATGGTTTGGGTTACCTGGTAGCCTGTCTTGTTGAAGTTTCACGAGGGATGTCGTGGCAGCGCAAGAGAGCGAGAGCCTTTGAACGCACATCTTCGTGGTGATCTCCCAACAGCTGACAGCTTTGGCCGAAAATGACTACTATTCAAAATGACTTACAGGTGTGTCCAATATGTTCATCGTTATGAAGTCCAGGGTTGCACATTGCACACACACACACACGCACACACACATCTAAAGACTCACTCCCACCCTCGAGCCAGTGTAGCTTATGGTCCACCCAACAAAGGGCAACTTGTTTTTCGGTTTAGGGCTTACTGTAGGATGTAGGTTCCCGTCCCCAAGAACCTGGCATTTTGGCTTGGAGGATCTTGGAGGAGTCTGACCGACCCAGAGAGCCTCCGAAGAGTCCCAAAACTTAAGGCACGGCCCCAGAAGAGCTCAACACTGAAGATGCTCCTCCGGACCTGGTGCTGCCAAGAAGCCATGGAGAGCTCGCCCAAGATGATGCGCGAAGCCCACAAGGCCGTTTGAGGGGTTTGGCTACTGCAGTACGGATCGGGAGCTGTCCAGCCGAGAGTACCTTGTGGTTTTAGGAGTTAGGGAGGGCCACAGGGTGCTTGAACACCCCTCCTCCGAACCAAAGGTGTGCCACACCTGCTACTGGTAGGCAAGGCAGAAACACAGAGGGAGAGCCAGAAACGAAGAAGCTTTGGTGCTCCTGCCGGTAGAGTCTATGCTTTTGGGTCATTCAGCCTATCGGGATGGCTTTTCTGACAGGGACCCGACAAGGTAGGTGACCGTAAGTTCCGAGACGAGGACTGTGTACGAACAATCGGAGCGCTTCGTTTTGCACTCGAGTTAATTCCTTTCAGTCGGCACGCAGAGGGAGCAGAGTGACGGGACGTGGCTTCTTGTGTGTTAAGATTTCGGGGTTTATACTCGGAACGTCCTCTGCGCTTTGCGGCGATCTCTCGCTCTGCTTGCAGTGGCCGTTTTGAACATTGAGCTGCAGACTACAAGCTCCGCAAGACCCAAACCTCAGCCACTGAGCCTCTCAACCCTTTGCCTGAACTTTGACCTCAGGGGACGTACGCCATAAGCCCCCGGTTTTGAAGCGCCCATCATGGCATGGCGCACGTGGCCCGGCCGCGGCTTCTGTGCTCAAAGATGATTCGACCATGGATCTTTCTCGCCCCCGAGCTGCAAAGACAAGCTTCGTGAGGCTTCTGTCAGGGTTTCGACGTCAACTCGGTGAAGTACGCTAAAAGTAGGGTTAGGCCAGAGTTTGGTAAACATGGCAGTGTTGGTCGCCGATTCCCAGCTGATGCAGGTTTTGAGCCTGGGTTCCAAAAAAGCGGCCCTTGTTGGGATCCCCAACTTGCCTTCCTGATGACATGTGGAAGCTTCCACGATACTTCCATGGAGTACATTGCAAATGCTGTGCCCCTACAGTCCTACAGCCCAGGAGTGTAGACCATAGAGCAATTTCTGTAGTGCATTGCGTTACATGCTTCTGGCTTTGCTTGGTGGATGAGATCTCTCGACAACCATCTGGTCCAATGTGTTGCTTCCTCACCTGGGATGTCCCCGCAGGTTTCCAAGTTTCTGCTTCGAGGTTGAACATGTAATGACAGCTTGGCCATTGCTGGTCCTACTGGAATGTTTCCAGTGCCCAGAAGGCTTTTGCGACGAAAAGAAAAGCTCAGTTCAAGGCAGACCCAGATGTCGTGCTTCATTTTTCTGGAAGTGCTGAGCCAGAGAGCCAGAAACCTTGGAGCCCAAGTTCACCTGTGACTAAATCCGACTTGGGATGCCGGGACGGAGATGCAGAAGTGTGATCCGCCTAGCTTTATTTCTCAACTAGCTTCCAGGTCTTGCTCCGCTTCTTAGCTGCGCCCCTGAAGTGCGCGTAGTTTTTCCGAAGACTCTTGAAACATCAGGGGACTTTAGGACGGATTCGATTTGCTCTGCCACTCCACCGCCATGACAAGGTGGCCTTCGTTCGGATTCGGGTCCAAGGAGCCTGCCTGCCCGACGCCATTGATGCAAGCCAGAGACGAAACTTGACGCGAGGCCCGGTCCCACAAAGAACAGGAGGTACGGAAGATGAAGGCTGTCCAAGCTAGCCCTCCCCCTGTGATTTTGTTCACACCTTGACCTTGCCCTAACTCAGCGGGATCTTTGTATAATTCAACAGAGGATGGATCGGATAGATGGACGGCCGGGACCCGTAGCCATCAGGAGATCCTATGCCATTCTGGGGTTTAGGCTCCGAGCCAATGAGTTTGTGGCTTACAGTTGCAGATGTCAGATACTGCTGGGTTCCTGGAAGGTGATGCTGGTGAATCTTATCCGGTGGGCCTTTTTGCGCTCAATTGGGCAGCCAGTCTCGTGACAACGGGTGTGACCCACATCCTCATAGAGGACGGCGTCGAGGGAAGTTCACCCCACTCCCCTTTCTTTTGGAATCGGACAGCTACGTAGTCCCGAACAACTTCACGTGGAAATGATCAAGCTTTCTGGAGGATGGGAGGTTGTGCAAATCTTGTGGGTTGAAGTGGATTGAAGGTTGTATGCTCGGAAGTCCCTTTGTAGCCCGAAGTCTCCAAGATCGTGCACCCTCCGTGTCGGAGGGCATGGGCCTGTCGGGAAGGAGCGGATGGGATACAACGTACTCGAAACCGGTCCTGGCACTGGGACCATTGAGGGCTTTTACGCCCTGTTTGGATGCCTGCAGCCTCTTGGTTCGCCATTGCTTTGTTTATCCATTGACCAGTTCTGCTCACTGGAATGTTCGTACGCCGCGTTTCTCCGCATTGCGGCCATTGCTGCATATTCTGCCGCAGGAGAATTGAAACCCGAAGACCAGGTGTGGGATGCATCTCTGTGGAGGTTGACTAGAACTGCTCCGTAGACGCAGGGGCGTCCTTTGATATGTTTTTGCCAAGCTAGGCAGGTAGGAGGAAGAGTAGCTTGGACTCCCACAAGACGATCGCCTAGTCCCATGGCTCTGAGGCCGAACAACATCACCAATCGGGGCTGTGGGCCGTCGGCAGCTGGGCCCAGGTGTAAATGCTTCTATTGGACCTAGCATTGTCTGTCGGATCATGCTGTCATAGTAGTTGCTCAGAATTTCATGATCGTTTCGTCGTGATCGTGGTCACGGCGGTTGCGGGAGTGGTTGGTCTGTGGTTGTTATTGGTGGCGGCAGTGGTGGTGATTGTTGTTTGCTGTGATTGTTGCTCTGTGAAGACGGTTGGCCAAACGGCATGCTGCGCTCCATGCATTTTGCCGGGTTTCTCGACTTGAAACAATATGAACCCTTCCTCAATCCGTGGCATCAGTCCCCAAAATGTCGAACCTTCCTGTGCAACGCTAAGGTTACATACAGTCACATAGCATTAGAAGCCTGGCCGGAAACTTACCGCAGCGAATGGGCAGAGGTCGTCAAGCAGTGCCTGGGGCTTGCAAGTAGGGTTTTTGTTTATTTTGCGGACGAGCAGTTGGGAATACTATTGCTTTGTAGCCTCCCTCCCTCCCTCTCTCTCTCTCTCTCTCTCTCTCTCTCTCTCCCTCTCCCTCGCACTCTCCCATGTCTCGAAGGCCGTCATCCGTAAAGTTAATCAGGATGGCTGGGTGTGGGGCCGTGGAGTCAGGGTTAAAGTGGTTGATGGTGCACAGACTGGGCAGAGCTTGGGTTTGTGCGGCTGCATGCACTGAGCCCTACCAGAGAGTTCTGAACAGGAATCCAGCCATGGCACCCGTGATTCTGGGCAGTATGGGTTACGATGGCACCACCGGAACCTTCTTCCCCTCCAGCAGCGGGAACTCGGCCTACTATACAGAGGGCATCGCACTGGAGTTCTACCGTGGCTGGAACTACTCGTGGAGCTGTTGTGCCGAAAATTTTGCTGTAGGCTATGGGATTAAGAAACTTACAGAGGGCTTGGAGGTTAGGAGTACGTGAGGGCAGGAAGGCCAGGCCGGCCCGGCTGCCCACAAAGAGCCCGAAACGGTGCTTCAGCAGGAGCCAAAGCTGGAAATACTTTGACAGCGTGGCGTCCATCGACCTGAATCTGATATTTCCATGTGTGCAGACACGCTTCCAGATCTCGAAGGTCAACGAGGACTACATCCGCTACACAGGCTATGAACCCGTGTAGAACCTTCCGGTACCTCGATGTAAACACATACGGATAGTTCCAGCTTGTACAGTTAGTAGTCAAGTTAGTCCCAGTTGCCCGGAAATAGAGCTTTCTAAAGTCTAAAGCTCCAAATCAACCCAGCGTTCGTACTCGGTACAGGGTACAGGGATGAGGGATGATGAGGGAATTCGAAAGTGTCATCTGTTGTTCTAGAGTTTGCGAGTTTGCAATGTGGCTATGAGAAGGGCTCAGGGTACTCGCATCTGATCTCCTCTGTGCCCTGGTCCCTCCGGCCAGAATGTATAGGTGACACGGATGGCGTGGATGTGCTGCCCAACGGCGATCTTGTTGCAAGGTGTCCGGATGGCCACTTCTGGCGACTTGATTGAGGTGTGAGCTTCGGTCATGTAGTGGGGATTTCGGGTTCGGAGGCAGGTGAGTGGAGGATTCGACGAAGAAGTTTTCCATGGAGTTGACAGTCGAAGGTCGATGTGCCCATGGTCGCAGCGCAGTCTGCATCTTTGGACGGTCCATGCATTTCGGAGCACAAGGGCTCCAGAACATCATGCACTGTTCCGGAAAATGCCCATGCATCCAGGAACACGAACCTGCGCAGATACAGTACAGACTGAGCCCTCAGCCTTCCAAATCCTGATCCGGAAAGCCACACCTTAGGTCACACCCCCATGTGCTTGCTGGGTGATTAAGTCAGGACAGAAAGGGCCCAGCCAGGGGTTCAGATGACGCGCTTGAACGAAGCCAGTCGACAACAGCCCGCACATCCACACGAGCCAGAGATTTTGACTCAGGCTTGCACCGGGCTGTCGTGCGGACGACTCCAAGTGTGTTCCATACGTCACCGGCGGAAGTGGCTGGTGGCCGCCAGATGCATTTTTGGCAAGTCTTCGATGTTTCCGGTGATAGCCAGCAAGTCTTGAGTCCATGACCCACTTGATGCAGTTATATAGGTGGAACCACACGGCTATTCTCTATTGCAACAGAGACAAGCACATGACTTGCTGATGATATGCATTCTTTGGCAAGCAACCATGCACATAAATGATGGGGTATGCCAGAATATGCAAGATCCCAAGCTCCGGTCTTTTGGACAGCGGAGTGCATGATACAGGAGCATGTGCTAGCCCCAAACAACATGAGCAAGAGCACCAGTAGGCAAGCTTCAAGCATCTTCTACACCGCAAGCAACGGGCAAAATGGAGACAATGCCCTTGAAGCTGCAGGCCAAATCTCAAGTAGCTTGAAGGGTAGATAGCGCCCACAGAAGCAAATCGTCAGCCAAGCCGCTGACGCTGGCCAAAGAGCTTCGGCCATGTGATGTAGCATGAGTGGAGCGCAGATGCAACTGCATCTATGGTGTCATGATGTAGTACCAAGCACTGTCAGTAGCAGTGTCATGTGAGAAAATGTAAGCTGATGGTACGTGCACTTCTAGCTTGTTGTCTCGGTATCGACAAGTTAGAGTCATCATCATTCACCGGGCTTACCACATATACGCCGGGCGTGCTCGTTTACTCGGCCTAATCCCTGACCACCTGCCAAGGTTAGATGACACCATGCAGAAAGCCACGGCTTACGATATTCCCATGGCTGTTGGAGTAGCAAGAGATCTCGCCACACTGCCGAAACAGAGGACCACAACCTTCTATGCCTGGGAGCCAGATACATCATTCTTTGAGCTGCAGCCAAAAAGCATCACCTTCCCTCCGAACGATCTCAACGCGCACTTGTGCCTGGGCCCACTTGGATAACTGCATGACCGGCTTGTAAGTGTTTCTCGCCAAGGGATGAGATGTGATCCAACTCAGCGAGCCAGGAATAGCTCATGCCACCCATAGGCTTATCTGGAAGAAGAGTGCCCCAGGAACGGAGACAAGAGGACTGCCGCGCCTGACTCGTTGGTTGCGAAGGTCGTGAGCCAGGACCGACCGTGTGCAGTGGGTCAACGAACGCTGAAGGGCTTCGGGCTTGGAGTGTGGGTTTCATGAAGATCAGACATAAGCTGCCGAATCGGCGTTGGGGAAAGACCGTGAGGAAAGGAACAGCGTGTGCTGAGAGCAGAGTCACGAGTCGCTGCTGATCACTACGAAGACTATGGCTACTCCAGCTACCAGCACTACCACCGTTACCCTTGCTGCTCTGCTGTTGCTACTACGACTACTGCAACGGCAACGACGATGACTCTGTGCTAGTGCTCCTACCGCTACCACTCTACCCCCACATCCACTTCAATTCCAGTTGCTCTGCGTGGGGTATATACCGGCAGAAGATTTGTACAGCGGTGGGTGCACTACATCGCGAAAGAAATGATAGTCCGCCGCGGACTGCAGAATGCAGCAGTCGTCGAGCACGACAGCGGCTGTAGTGAAAGCAGGGTGGTAACGGAACTCAAATTCAGACATAGTGGCGGCAACCTCACTCGTAACAACACTGCCATCGCATCAGCGATTGCCCAAACAGAAACCATCACCGCCACCATCAGAGACACCATGATCTCTATCATGCTGATGATCACAAGACAAGTGCTGGTGATGTACGGCATCGCACAAGCTCCCCGAGAATTTCGCAGGATTTATCCACGCTGTCGCCGCGGCTTGAAGACTTTTTGCGCAACATGCGCTATAGCCTGAAGGATGTGAACGCCATGATGGGGGACTTGCTCAAGACGGGAGACTCCCACCATGATGCGGCTTGGGGATTCTTCAGGGCTTCGGGAGTCCATGGTTTGCCCAAAATCTGGAACCCGGATCAAGCCAGAAGACATTTCAAGCTTACTGTGCTTGAGGCGTGGAGGAGCAAGCCCCGTTTGTCCGGAGCCCTGCAAACCCCACCATGACAGGTTTCACCAGCGGTGATGGCAGGTGTACTCGAAACTGTAGTACGTGACAAATCCGTCAATTCTGCGTTGTTCAGGTGGCCTGCCGATGGCTCTTGGACAACCGTGATGCTTGGGAAAGCTGGCTGCCGGACGAAACGAAATGCTTCCCCGGCTTTGGCTTGCACCACTGGCCGGACTTGAGTGCTCGCTCTTGAGCAATTAGGCAGTTGTTCTCCCTTGTGTCACTAGCAACAAGTAGCACTAATTGAAAACGTGCAACTGCAACACCGGCGGGACTACTATGGATTATCGTTTCCATGATCACTTCTACCGCCACCCTTGTCTACCACTCTTCTACTGCCACAGCTAGCACTGCCTTCCATGCTACAATTTCTGCAGCCGCTACTGTTGCTACCGCACCACCGCTGCTGCTTTTTGTTCATGCTTCCTTCTACTCGCATTCCCATTCCTCCTGCTGCTGTTTTCTACTTCTCCTTTTCCCCCGCTGCCGTGCCCACTACAGAGACCACTTCCTCTTGACCACTGCGACGAGCACTGCTTCTGCAGTCCCTCTACTGCTACCACCAGTTCTACTACACTGCTGCTGCTGCTGCTACTACTACTACTACTACTTCCACGACTACTACTATTACTACTAGTACTACTACCACTACTACCACTGCCCCTGCCCCTGCTCCTACTGCCAGTGCTAGTGCTAGTGCGAGTGCTACTGCTGCTACTGCTACTTCAGACTCCTGCTGCTCCCGCTGCTGCTGCTGCTGCTGCTGCTGTGACGACGATGTGTAGCTACCACTGCTCCTGCGCTTCGAGCTTCTGCTACTACTGCTCACCCTCCTCCTCTGGCTCCTCATGCAGTTTACTGATACCGTTGTGAGTGCTAGGGATCTCTGTGTGAAAGCAACGCGAATGTGCCAACGACAGTGGTGTATGCAAAGGCTGCCATGAAACGTCACGGGGCAAAGCAAGGTTATTCAGCAATAGTGCCTGCCGTGCATGGTACATATATATATATATATACATGCGCAGTTGAAGCCATGTACAAATATGTTCATTCATATGGAGTCCATGTGCGCATGGAAATGCCAGCTCCCGACTTGGCTCTCTTTGTTTATAGACTGAGGACTCGTACGCACGCCGCAGTATGGGTACACAGACATTCGCATGCCAATTGCAAATAAAGTGCTGTCTAATCGTAGGTATCCACGACAGCAGAGTGACAAGGTGCAACCTCTCTGCAACATGAACACAACAAGAAAGCACACTACAACCGACCGCTACGTAGTTACATATACGTAGCACTATGGACTGAGAGAGTACTCAAGGGTTGAGCCGAGCCACGCTCACGTCGCCCAACTGTTCGAACTCCTTGAGCCGAGCCCTCAGATCTTCGATCTCCTCTTCCTTGCAGGTACATGGGAAGAACCGCTCATGCTGTCAAAAAAACAGAAAAACCACAAACGCACAGACCCCACAAACAACATTGCCATGACCGCAGCATGGACACTGATGCTGCACGGAAGGAGTTAAGTAGCCCCACCCGAACAGAATCACGTGATATGCACCTGAAAGGAGGTATTAGTCTGAAAACGCTCATGTTGAGAACTCATTTCGGCAGTACAAATCGTGGCAACTGCGAGAAGCATTTCAACGTGGTAGACGAAAACCTCGTAGAAGAATCCAGTGCGGCCAATTTCAACCCCCTGCACGTGCGAAGGTCCTAAGTCAAATCACCAGGCAAGACAATGGAGCCGCAGCCCTCCGCCCCGGAGCCTGCCAAACCGTTGGGCTTGAAACGTCCCCAAGGGTTTCCCTCGCGCCTTCTTGAGGAGACGGCTCTCGAGGCGGGCCATATCCTTTAGTGTCTTTGGCCGGGATTCTGCGAATCTCTCGGTGTCCAAAGTCTATTAATTGCGCTTGGAGTCTGACAATATGCGTTTACAGCCAAGGCTTGTATTTCTTCAGATATGGCTGCTATCACCGTATCACCACTTCAGAACCACTTCATGTGATTAGTGCAATCATGGATTACAGTACATTTCGATTCTGTTCTGAAGCAAGCTGCAGCGTCGCGTTGAGCCAACCTTTCTCCAGCTCGCGCTTCCTCGGCTGAGAGGGTGGATCCAACTTAGCGCTTAACGGCGGACCATAGCGGGACAGTTCTAGAAAAGACTGCGAAAGAGGCTGTAATTATGACAATTCACAATCATACCTGAATCGAAGCCCGGACGCTGAATCTCGAAAGATGCCAGGAAACGAGACGAGGGCAGCATGCATTGCTAGCAGCTTGAGTGGGCCAAAACGATACTAGGACTGAAGCTCCCAGTGTTTCTCTGTGGCAGGATGTGTATGCTCACGCGTCTGGTGTTCCCGTGCCCCCCTCCGGTGGGGGGGGGGGGGGTTGGNNGGGGGGGGGGGGGGGGGTTGGCGTGTGCAGCTGGAGGGTGGGGGGGGTGCTGCTGCGGGGCGGCCAGGGATCACAAAGACTGCCGGGATCTTACCGGGATCCTACGCAAGCCGTACGCAAGCCATAAACCGTAAACCCTATAACGTAGAGCGTGTTCCTGTATTTATTAACCTTAACCTGTACTTTAAGCCCTACACTCAGCCATAAACCCAGCCCAAATGCAGCTACGCCCCAAAGCCTCCCTTCGACTCGAAGCCTTATACCTCTTTGTTAACCCTACACTCCTAAACCCCAAACTCGAAAGCTTAAGCATCTTAAGCTAAACCCTAAACCCCACAACCATCCCAGAGAGGGAAGCGGGACCCCACACCCCGGGGAAGGGGGGCATCCTGTACCATGGACCTTGGGAAGGGAGGGCGGGGTGGGGCCGCGGAGCGCCTGACCATTTCTGCTGGCGTCCTCCCTTGGCTACCAAAGAGAACCCGACTGCAGAATAAGCACGGGCTAAGGGTTACGCATCGAATACAGAAGGGAGCCTGACGATATCATCGCCAAGCCGGGGAGGTGGTGACTGGGTTGGCCTGGACCCGGCCAGCTAGTGTGTCCCCGAAGACGGCTGCAGCCGCGGTGCCTTCACGGCCTTGAGTTCCTGCTCCATGTCCTTCGTATGGAAAATCAACACATCAGTTGAAGGGTTCAGGGTTGGGGGTGAGCTCAGCTGTTGTGATTGTGCTGGTGTCAGTTTATGGGCGACTTCAGCATCGCGGAGAAACCTTCAATCCACAGCACCAAGACACGCCGAGAAAGGAGAATCGGCCCAACCCTTGGAAGCCGCTTGCGAGTCTCAACGAGGTCCGGGTCGAAAAGTCACGCTAACGTGTTCATCTGTTTGTGCGACAAGGGTCCTGATGCCCCGCTGACGGGGAGAAAACTGTAATTAGATTACGTACCTCTACGTGAGAGCAATGACAATGCGTCTGACACGATTCATAGCCAAGAGAAGCATCTCGTCCCATCATCTTCAGTCTGGCTTCGTTGCCACACTTCGCTGCCAGAGCACCGTGCAAAATAAACGCGGAGCCAGGGCCAACAAGAGATGCGAACGTTGTAGTAGCAACTGCCAACACACAGTAGCAGGGGGTGGGTTATGGCTGCCGTGTGTTCTAAGGTCCCATCGCCATCATCAACACTATCAGTGCTCACCGTTATCACCATCAGCATCGTGACCATGGTTGTCGTCTTGATCAGCATCCTTACTATCATCCTTATCTTTATCATCACCATCATCCCCGCCATCATCGCCACCACCTCGTCAGTACGGCCGCATCTCCATCATTGCCATCACCCCCGTCATCATCGCCACCAAGATCCCGACGACGATGCAACTCGTCGGTATGGCTCACTATCAGCATCCTCAATTACCGGCCTCATGTTCATCATCAGCATAATCCCCATCATCATCACCACCACGATCACGACGACAGTTCAACTTGTCTGTTCACAGCAACTTGAGAAATAGGCTTTGTTCTTGCCAACATCGTTCTGGCAGAGGTTTTCGGTACCCCCGGTCCTTGTACTTTGCAAGGAAATCTCGCATTGACGGCACACTGTCGAAGAGGTAGCCTACGATCATTTCAGGATCGCACGCTCTCTCATCTAGAGGCTCACTGACAGCCCTCGCTCCTCGGACTCACAACGCATGGCCCCTGCCCGGCTGGTTTGAACATGAAACTGTGAGGTCAAAAGCACCCGAGGCTGGTCTGCTTGCCGGGTCCATATGCGCAACCTTTGCGAAGCTGCCTGTGACACTCGTGACAGTTAACATGTCAGCCGACAAGTCGAGACGGGCCGACCGGTAGCAAGCATCTTTCTATGCTGGCAATGTGTGAGGCACCCTCATACAAAGATAAAAGGCAGAGTGACGGCTTAGTTGCCGAACTGCTCCAAGCCTAAGCCGTACTTGTCGAACTCAGCGCGAATCCGATGATGGTTGCGCAAGAAGGCCTTGTGACTGCCCGAGGGTGGGGAACTCTGGCATACGTCTTGTGATGGCTCGAGCGCTCCAGCTACAAGTAGCCATGACTTGCCCAGACCGTCTTACACAAAGCCAACAGTTGTGTCCCTCGCGGACCGTCCGATTCGTTGCTGTTCAATCCTGAAGACAAGCCTACTCCTTCTAGCGCTCTTTGCCATGAAAAGAGGCTTTATGGATCTCTCGGGCGGGCTTTTCGGCACATAAACATCTTCAATCTTCACTTCAGGCTGCTCTTAATGTTCAATCAACTAGACTCTAAACAAACACCACCAGCACATTCCGGCTTCGCTCACCTGTGCCAGCAAGCCTGTTTGCATAGGCTTCCCCTTCGAAACTCTGGAGCTGATTCAGGGTTGATGCTGAAGGAACAAAGTTAAATGGGGGAGGATACCATGGGGTGGGGGGGAGGGGAGGGGTGTGGCAGCCCTGCATCATGTATGTACAAAGGCATGTATGTATGTATGTATGTATGTATGTATGTATGTATGTATGTAAATATGTATGTACTTATATGTATGTGTATCTATATATATATATATGTCTTTATGTAGCTTGTATACCTATGACTGTAAGATAGGTTCATTTGCGCACACCTGCACGCGTATTTGCATTTCACAGTTGTGCTCCTGAGACACACGAATTACATGCACCCTTTCGATACTCACTCTCCTTATTCCCAAAACAACACATTCTTTGCTGGAACTGTTTACGTTGTTTGCACGAAATTTTTGGATGGCATCCCCATGGGGAAATCGCGCACATGCAATAACCAGGCAGACGAAAGCCCAATTCTGTGATTGAAAAAGACAACAGAAACAGTTCAACGGTCTCCCACCGGCTTGGCTCTTCGTCCCCCTGAGCTTGACCTGCCTTGAGGGCATACTCGGGATCTTCGAAAAGTTCCTCCATGTCGTATTCCCGGAAGGCGGACTGCCTCGGTGCAAGGCAAGACGGTGCAGCGTGTGCTGTGCGAGGGGGAGGGGCAAGACTAGCATAGGGAAGCCAGAGCAAATCCAGAAGAAGAACGGAACAACCTTCCTGTCGAAGGAAAGCTTTGTAGCTGCTGTATGCTGAGAAACCTGATGATTCCGAACCTGCTGGGTCTCGCACAGCGCTCTGTAAGCAGAAAGGATTTCAGCCAGCAGGGACGGATCCTTCTCGGCATCTTTCAAACCTTGCCAGATCTGGCTAGGACTTGCAGCTACACCAGGTAGCAGCTACAGTAGATGCACCAGAGTACGCAATTCCCGCAAGTTGCCCTCGCAGTGGCAACCCAGTCCGCACTCAAAACGGTCACACTGTCAAGTCAAGGCCTGCAAGGTTTAAGTGCACCCACGGCTGAAACCAAGCTCGTGTTGGATGCAGGCCTTTCGCCTGATTATACTTTTGCATCACCCTAATCATAAGCATTGCAATCAACTCGCACATCCTTTTGTAAACATGCTTCCAAACTTGAAAGATCGAGCAGGTGCTGAAGCCGACACTGCAGACACGACGATCAAGCGAGGGAGCATGATTTTGGTGAATACGACTGCTCCGATGCATGCCAATCCTCTAAACACATCGACATTTTGGATGGAGCATGCGCGCACAAGACTGCACGCACATGGACGTATGTGTAATTCGCACTTGGGACTGGGAAATACATGTCAGGCCATGTTGCACGATCTTTCTGTGTCTTGTGCTCTCAAAGCCAAGCTCAATGTTGTACAAAGTGCCAGCTAGTTTATGTCAACATCGCATGATTCTTCCAGAGCAACATTAAGGATGCAAAGATGTTGGTTTAACATGACAGCGCGCGAGAGCGAGAGAGAGAGAGAGAGAGAGAAGCAAAGATAGAGTCAGAGAGAGAGTGGGAATGCGAGTGAGTAAAAAACGACGTGTGTGGTCTGCGTGGGAGGAGGGGAGATCGTTGCCAACATTTGTATATGGACCCTGAGACTGCCAGCACCACCAATAACAAAACCATAAAGCGCTCTATGCTCCAAGGTGCCATATGTCTCGAGAGTGCTCATCAAGGACTTGATCAGCCGCAAAAGACGACCAAGCTCTGGTGGGTCATCGAGCAGGTGTTCCATCCCTGAAAGGGGATTGGCAGCTCGGGACACAGCAATGCGGCTGCGATGATGGTAGGTGTCACAGGAAGAAGGAGCATTGCTGCTATCTGCTACACCGCTACACTCGTGGGCATCTGATGCCCAAACGATCCCGTTAATCCGGCTTTCCAACTATGCTTCGACGTTGTCCCTGAAGTCCTGCCGCAAATCAACTGTACTACGACCTCTTCGTCTTGTCTCGAGTTAACTGCTCGCGCTCGTTGAACTGCTTCACGGGCATCCGAGCGGAAAGCTCCATGAAGCTTTTAGACGCTACAGCTGCCTTCATCCCGGAGAACCCGTTCGAAGGCCGTCGTGCGAGACAGGTAGGCGCGGAGCGCCGGGAAGGACTCGCGAGGAGGACTTTGTTTCGCCTGCCCATCTGTCAATGATTCCTTCTAAGGCAACTGTTTGGCTCTGTGAGGCCTGTGAACCAAACATCACTTCTGAAAGCAGTCCTGATTATTGACTTCTTCTGTACCGAGGCTCCGATACCAACCGGAACGGTATCGAAATGCATCCGCCTCTGAAGGATAACTGACATGTTGCCTGTGTACGAACTTGCCTGGAAATCCGGCTCAGGTGGTTGCCAACCGTAGGATCTTTGCTCGATAAGCTTAGCGTTTCCCTTGTAAAGATACCCCATCAAGTGCTATCCAGATTCGACATCCATGTGTGCAACACGATTGGCGCAATCCATGGAGCAGTACAACGTTTCAAGCCCAAGACAAAGACATCGATTCTGAAACAAGTCCCGTGAGAGGTCTAGAGTCTAGAGCCTAGCAACGAGCAGTAATTGTGCGTATGTGCAGTTGCGTTAAGCAGAAGAGGACCAGGGTCTTTCATAATTGATATTTGCCATGAAACCGACAGTTGTGAAGATCACGCCCTGCATGCGAATCCATCCAGCCGTCCTTGCTGCTCTCCGCCGAAGGCTGCTGAGGTTTCGCTTCCTTCGCGATGGCATTCGTTTCCTTCCCTCCTCGTACCACAGGGTTCCAAACGGTTCACTACCTTCTTTATGGAGTCTACTCGGCTGACAGCTTGAAGGGCTGAGGCTGTAACGTCTCTTAGACTGCCATGCTCCAAGCCTGGGAAAACTGCTGCCACAAGTCCTTGTCGAAGCCAAAGCATGTTTGCTTTACGAAGTTCACCAAGACTCAGCAGATACAAGAAGCAGCCCTTATAACCCGGCATGTTCCCGCTGCAGGGAATAACTTTCATAGTTGACCCCAAATTAGGATGAGGATGTTTGCATGGGTATCATTGCGCTTGTGGGGCCTGAATCCTCTTCCGCCTCGTCTTCGTCAGCCTCCTCTTCCTCAGCTTCCTCGTCCGCATCTTCGGCAGGGTCCTCATCAGCCTCGTCTTCATCATCGTCTACTTCGTCGTCTTCGGCAAAGTCTGCATCCTCGACTTCGCCACCGTCTGTGGTACTGGCTGCCTCGAACTCAACAAGCAGGTTGCTTTGACCCGCTTCCTCGAAGACTTGTCGAAGCTTTGCCATGACCACTCGGTCATATTCGCCTTGATCGAAAACTCTGAGAAAATTGGCAGCCGCATGCGAGTCGTCCAGCAAGTTCTCATAGCCAGCATCCTGCGTCGCGCGGGACATTCTCACATTTACAGGAGACAGTTCTGGAAATCTCTTCCGGCCTTTCCCACGACACGCAATCTAAGATATGCATAATGCAGAGACGTAGAGGTAAACATCCGGGTACCCCTCCGTCATATTCAGATACGTACAGATAAACATGCATATAAACAACAGAAAAAGAGGGAGAGAGACAGAGAGAGAGAGAGAGAAAGCGCGAGAGAAAGAGAGGGCGAGACCTGGAGTAAATTACGAAGTGCGAAACATGGAAAAGATGCCCTCCAAGCATGTATATACATCTGTACATATATATATATATACACATACATACATACATACATAAATACATACATACACATATATACGCATACCTAAATGTGTTTATGGTGGTTGTTCCAAACTCCCCTTTGATGGGAACGGCCGGATCATCGAAGATGCGTTGTCCTTTCGCTCTTACTATAGCGGAACTTGCCCGGAGCTTCAGGCTTGTGTGCGTGTGCGCATCTGTCATATCTGTCCATCTCTATCTCTATCAGTACCTCTATCTACAAACATGTGTACATACACATACCTACACATACGCATACAGACATACATCCATGCATACATACACGCGCGTACAGAGCAACCAGTGAGTCTGCATACCATGCATAAATGTTACCGTACATACATACCTACATACGTACACACCTTCCCAAACCCATACCATACCATACCCATAACATTTCAGACATGGAGGTGCAGGTTCAGATGCGATCATGCATGCTTATGTCTTTGCACTTCTAGCCTGCAGTTCGGCCAGTTGTACCTTATCATGAACGAATCTAGACCAGCATGATCCTGCATGTATACGACTACGCATCGCGCTGCACCTATCTTTCTATCGATCTATCTATCTGATCTGTTCATCCATCTTTGTATCTATGTATCTATCTATCCACCCACCCACACATCCACCCACCCAGCCAGCCACCCACCCATCCATCCTTCCATCCATCCATCCATCCATCGATCTATCCATCCATCCATCTACCTATCTCTATCGATCTGTCTATCCATCTTCGCTTGTATGTGTGTTCTTATTTCTGAGAGTATATGTACTTAAACGGTTGTGTACGCATATCACGCATACAACACCCACAGTCTCCGACTCCTGGAAGACATCTCGCACTTGGCGGTGCGTCTCCAAGAAGCTGTCCAATTTCTGCACATCCGAAAACAACACCTCGAAGCCATGCCTGTCTGGGCTCTTACGCCGACATCCAGCTTGCTGGCCACTGTCACTGCTGCTAAGTGGTCACTGCAGACAGCGCCACAACACAACAACTACGTCTGCTTCTGCAGCAGCTTAGTGACGTTAGTGTAGAATATTCATAGATGCTCATCACGCCAACCTCTATCCCCAGGTAAACAATCCCAACCCCAGCCTTGATATGGCCTCTTGGAGGAACCTGAAACCTCGTCTCTCGGACACTGCAGCATACAGTACTGCGCAGCATTGTACTTTAGATGTCGGCCTGGAAGCGAAGGTATTACTCAAACACAGGTAAACACATGTATATACATATACATCGACATACACATACGTATACATGTAGAAGTGCATGTATCCGTACATTTGCATATACATAGCCATATACACATAGCCATATACACATACATCTAATCATGTACATGCACATATACATAGACATACGCATATACGTCTACTTGGGCATAGGCATATGCATAGGCATAGGCATGCACATTTTACATAACATATGCATATGCATATACATACACAAATACATATGCGTATACAGATACATGCACATTTGCATACACATACACACATAAGCATAAACATACATACATTCATCCATCCATACGTACATACATATACATACAGTTACATTCAAACATCATGGACTCTGTGCCTGGTGCCACTATCCTACCGGACTTGAAGTTAATCTGTCAAGCATAGAAAATGCTGCGGAGACCGTACGCAAACGCCAGGCCTCTCAAACGAGGCCTTCATAGCTCCGTAACGTGCGAGCATCTCCTCAAAGGCTTTGGCGTCCTCGAAAAGACCTCGAGTCGATTGCTTCCGAAAATTGTTCGAGGCTCGCCATCTGGGGTATGCGGTGGAGGATTTAGGCTTTAGGATTTGAGGTTCACACGTTTGAGCTTCAGGCTCTGGGGTTTGCAGTTCGCATTTTGGGTTTTTTTGTGCAACTTTAGAGCAGTCTACGTGAGAACTCACGGGCTGGGTTTGGCATGGTGTCCAAGGGTATTGGGAACCAGAAAGCATGCTAACGCCGCGGTAGCAGCATCTCGGCTGGGGCGGCAAATTTGCTGGCGAAAGCTGTTAGCCTGGTTCTGTGGAACTAAACGAACAAACGGCGGATTCACAAGTCACAGGATCCGACGCCAGAAAATCACAGAACTAGTGCCTTGAAATCCGAGTCCCCGCAGAATGAATCTCCAAGAGGCTGGAAAGACCGCTCTGCTGCAGCACATCCTTGATGCCTCAGTGGTTGAGGCTTCGCGGTTGCTTGTGGGCTGTGTGGTCTACGGTCAATGGCGCCACGATTGCATTTCGGAATCCTGCACTGGGGCGTAGAGCGTAGACTCCAAAGATGCAGATGCTAAAACCAACAGTGTAGCCAACCCGCGGAAGGCACCCAAGAACTGTGACCCGGCAGGGTCAAGGGTTCGGGTTCGGGTTCATTAAGGTGTAAAATGTGAAAAATCCAACTCTGAAAAGTTAGGCGCGCCGCAGACATGCAAAGCCCAACTAGCATGAACAACAAAATAACACCCACGCATGTATGATTTAGGATCATTATGGCCATGCTGCCATGCTTCTCGTCTACTATTTCATTAATTATCGTCATGTCATGATGGTCATGGCCACTGCCACCACTATGCCCCTCGTCGTCCCCATCCTCAATCACTAAGCGGTACAGCGAGCAGCGAGTCATCAGTTCCAGCAGCCGGCCGAGTTCCTGCTAGCCCGTGTGTGTGTGTGTGTGTGGAACACCTGCGTGCCAAGGTCTCAATTTTTAAATCTGCAGGGGGGCAGCGAGCATTTCTGGATTGCGCTGCCTAACAAAGACCGTCCAGATTTGCTGTGATATGAAGAAGGGACGCCTTCTTCACGTACCTGCAAGT